GCAACGCAGAGACAGATGAATCCCTACTTGGGTCGTACCTGTCTTGGCACATAATTCCATCCCCATCGAGTCGATGCTTTCCCCGAACACAATTAAGTCCAACAGGTATTCTGCCACCTGCCACATCCGTCCCATTTAGCAGTTGGTAGTGCCTCGAAGAATCACCCTCCCAACGTTCGCTAGCCCTCTTTTCATAAATAAACTTGGTCTGCGCACATTCAACCGCATCTTGAAATTGTAAATTCTTCGTGATCATCAAGTATTTCCAATTGAAACTGTCCATTTTGTATTAAACTTTACCTGAGGTTAAATTCAATTTAAAACTTAAAAATACAATTATAAAATATAAATCAACTATAAATTAGAAAATACTTATTGGATCATTTTTAATAATAATAAAACAAAAATTCTCCATTGTCTCCATTGTCTTTTAAGTTCATGGAAACTTAAATTATTTAAAGTAATTGTATTGTTCACAGTGAAATCTAAATCAAAATGTTTAGATAATTACTATTATATTCATCAAAATATAATAATGATAATGTTAGTTATTAAATTTAATAAAAAAAAAGTAAACGTATTGAACTTCTAATGTAATTATTTTTATTTTTTCTTTATTTAAAGAAATATTCATAATATTTTGATTATTATGAAATAAATAATTAACATTCTTGTGCTATTATTAACATTGCAAAGAAAAAAAAATATTTGAATTGTTTCTGAACATTTCGTTATCAATCAATAAACGTTTAGTAAACTCTGTTACGATGATACCACTAAAATTAAATCAAAAGTCAGAATTTTCCAAAATTGTGGATAAAATTATACAGAAGAGACTAATTGAATACCGTCAAAAACATCATTATCATTGCTCAACAATACACTTTCGTGTTCGGTCCAGTAGCATGACGGTCTTGATGGACATGACCGCAAACGTCATGAAAATACTAGACAATCACAGGTATACAGGTGGTGATTTTTATGGACATGAAAAAGGCATTTGACACCATTCCAAAAGAAAGATTTTAAGGCAAAAAAATGAAATATAGAATCAGATCGCAAAACTATTTATTATCAGACAGATGCTGTGTGTTCACTTTAATATTTTGCTAGGTCATTAGAAAACACAACATGCAATAATATCAAGACGCTACAAGGACAACAAAAGAAATTACTTCAATCACACTCGTTTATCAATTCAATATTCCACTGAATGATATGGGACATAAAATAATAATGTTCATAATGCAAATATTGGAATAAATCAATCTCAAAACCAGCCACTATATTAACAAAAAGTTCTACAATTCAGAAGCATCAACAATACAAAACAATTTATAAATGTTAATAAAATGTATATAAATAAACAAATTGACATTTATTATTTGTCAAAATCCTAAGCTGTGTGCGTCAAAAAAGATTATTCTTCTAAGATGAATGCTGCTCATCCAAAAACGTAATTATTTATATTTTATTTAAAAAAAAATATTAATTTGCTGTCAGTTTTATTCTCCTTCAATTGATAATTCTTTAGAAAATATATCATAATATATGTTTGTATTTTTTTCTTGGATATTTTTTTATTTATGAATTTTGCAACTGATTAGTTACATGCATATTAATTTATTTTTAATACACATAAGCTTAAACAACATACAAATAACAATATAAACGTTTACTAGTATGATATTTCATATCAACACGTTATTTTTGCAGATATATTGCATATTATGTATCATGTTTAATATTTATTTAAATCGTATGGGCACTTCATTTTGAATTAGTCCTAAAGATCGTGAAACTTCATATCGAGATGTTAAGAAATAATCAAGTTTAATCGTTGAAGAAAAAGCTTTTAACATAAATGCTATTACGTAATAATCTCTGAAATTTACCTCTTTATGTATTTTTGTTATTGAAAAGCAATGTTAAATTACCAAATAAATGTACATTTCAAATAAAAGAAGTTGAGGAAGTTTAACAAATTTAATAAAACCTTTGATATTTTAGAATATTTAAAACAAGTTTTAAAAAAACATAGTTAATCCAGAGATTTTTTGATGAATATCTCATAAATTTTGTAGATTTTAAATATCCAGCAAGATAACATTTGTTTATAAAATAATTATACAATTTAATTTATATTTTGTAATAATTATTTTAATGTAACATAAGTATTTGTAATAAATAATGCGATGATTGTGGTTGATATTTAATGGATTTCTTTGTTTTCTAATAAAAAGAAAGAATTAGTACGAAATTTCGTTAGCTTATTTGTTACGAATATCTTTGCAATTACAAAATTTAGCAAATTCTCATGTTTAAAAATGGATTTTGGAATCAAAATTCTTTAAAATTGAAAAATCACGTTCAATAACAATTTGTATATATTTTTTTCAAAGTACGTTTCTTCGTTGCTGTTTGGACTTGAACATTTGAATTGAAAATATTTTTCGGGTTTTGTTTCTTCCATAAGTTTTTGGGATGCAATTATAGCATTTCCTAAAGATTTAATAAAGATTTGATAATTTATGGAGAAGTTTCATCGTTCACGTTGACTAAATCATTAAGTTTCGATTTACAGTTTGTATTTAACTAACAAAAAACTAGCTAACCAATATTTTCATATTTAGTGATCGAGAAAAATTGCTATTGAAAAAAACTATCCATAATTATTGTATAATATTAGGTCTTCTATATTATGTTTTTTGTATACTTTTAAAACGTAAACTCTCGGGAGTCAAGATAAAAATCAGCTTATTTCCTGGCATACACTAGTACTTTATAAATTACTTGGCTATAGTACATGAACTAATCAAAATCGAAATTAATTTATAAAAATAATATTTGTAAATAGCCATTTACACTTTAACATCAATGAATGTTACATAATTTTAAATAAAGAATAAAACAAATAAACAAATATGATATGTTCAAAGTGACACCATCATCATGGTGTCAATTTTGTTAAAAAAGCTTATGAAATATTTTTTTTTTAGTGAAACAAGAAACAGATTCGATATCAATTTACAAATACAATTATATTTAATTTATTGAAAAAATATAGTACTCAACATAAACATATTACGTTTTCATTTAATAATAATAATGTATGTTAGGATGGCCATGACTCGAATTATTCACTAGATTTTGTTTCTCTCAATATTTTCAATTAACCGAAAATATGGACAAATACACAATATTTAAAACAGTTAAAACGTTTTGGCTTAGTTATTTGTTATTAATAAATATTGTTCATAAATATTCATTCGTACCTTGTAGACTGTTAAAAATGCATACAGCTGTAATTAAAACAACAAAAAAAATGATGTGTTCCGCTTGTCTCCTCGCTTAATACCATATAAGAAAATATACAATTACAATACGAATTATAATTTGTATGTGAATTTGTGCAAATACACAACAACAATTAGGAACCTAATTAATTAAATAAATCTACATGAATTAATAAATTAAACTGTCAATAAATTGAACTTGTTTATGTGTTTCTTTTAAATTTGTCTTCTATTGTTCGTACATTTTTCTGTTGAATTTAACTTAGTAAAAAATATTACATATGCAGGATTCCCAAACTTTTCTTGCAATACTTAGTAAATCTTGAAATGTTCACGGAACACTTTGTGTATTTTATAGGGCACATTTTTTTTTGTTAAATTAGAAAAATATTAAGTATTTACTAATTTTCCACGGAAAATAGTTTGGGAACTCCTGCATAAATAACAATATTTATTACAACAAATTAGCAAAAAAAAAACTTAACACAACAACATAAATTGCTGCAAATTTAGTTCTATTGCTGCAATTAAATTAGAAAATGCATATTTGCCAATATATGATTCAAATCATTAGAAAATTATTAATTGTTAATTTATAAACGATTTGTTTTGTTAGAAATATTAACTATATTATAAAAGAGATGAACGAAAAATAATCGTGAAGTAGTTGAAAGTGGTAGTAGTAGGATGTGGGAAAAAATCGTTTATGAACCATGGTTCCGTCGAGCCACCGGCATAATTATTATGTAATTAAAGAAGCATATAATTGAATTAGAATAATAGCTGCAACATTTCCATATCTTGATACAAATAGCAGTAGCGGCAGTGTATCGAAAAGAGATCAATTAGCGTTACGCAATAACCTGCCGATTCCCGGAATTCGCTTAATTGTTAC